AAGTCGAGGGTCAAGGATTGCGCTGCAGATGTACACTGCCTTCTTCTGGGCAGCTTCTTGATACTGGATGATTTTCTTAATCATTGGCATGATTGCCACTTTTAACTCCTGACATCTATAGTCAGTCCAGGACTAAAAGAAAATAAAACATGTATTAGTAAATTATCATAATAAAATTTGAAAAGGAAAAAAAAATACATACACGTTCAAGTCGTTCCACGAGCCATTGATAATCGGGCATGACAAGAGAGAAAGTTGGGTACTCGTGGCCTTCAAGCCGTTTGGTGACTTCAGCAAGAGGGGCTAAGAACTGTACCAGATTCTCCACTAAGATCCACTCATCGTGGTCGAGTTTAAAAGGCTCAAGTACTGGGGTGCAATTAAATTGATATTCGAGAACGACCCGAAGTTCGACAAAGCGTGCAAGTGACGAGTGGGTTGAAGACCAGCGAGTTGAGACCTCGTGAACTAGGCCGACCTTGCATGGGAGGGTGGCACAACTGGCGATAGCGTTGTCGAGCGAAGTCTTGAGCTGGCTGCTGTGTTTAATTTTCTTGTGAAACGTTTGGATCCGAGTTAGAATGCTGCTGATCTCCGAGTTGGATGCAGGCTCAAGAAATAAAGGAGCTGAAGCGGGGTTTTGGGGTATGGAAGGGTCGAGAGCGTTAATGGGGGGTAAATCTTTCCGATCGAAGACAGCCAGGCCAGCCTTAGCCACAAGGTTGATGACATGAGCCACACAACCATGTATGTTCTGGCTGGCATCGAAGTGAGGGATCATGGTTGCAAGCGCAATACCCATGGTGGTGTTGTGGGAAGCATTATCGGCGGTGATGCAGTAAAGGCGTTCGGTGATGTTGAAGGAATCGAGGGTGTTCTTAAGGAGGGTGGCTAGATTGGACCCAGTGTGAGGACCGTCGATTACCTTCAATGCCAGGGTGATTCCGCGCATGATGAAGTTGTCGTCGATCCAGTGAGCCGTCACACCCAACATCGACACGTTGGTCGGAGTCGTCCATCCGTCGCAGGTTATGCTGATGTGGGAGACGGATGAAAGGAGGTTGGTGATCGCCGCTCGAGTTGAGCGATACCCATCCAGAATCCCCTCGGTGATGGTGGTTCGTTTGCTGAGAAGGGCGTAAGCTGGAGGATTGATCATGTTGACCAGCTCTCGAAACTCCTTCGAATCGACGAAGGAGACCGGAATTTCGCGATTGACGACCATTCGAACGAGGACCTCCTTGAGGTTGGCTCGGTTGAGCGGTTTGACCTATTTCAAAGTGGGAGGAGTTATATATAGATTGTGAAGGGGAAAAGGGAGGAATGGTGTCAGATAAAATATAAAAGAGAAAAAGTAAGATAAAAAGTAAGAAAATATAAATATATAAAAAGGACTCACCTTGACAGGCTCGCCATCGATGTAGAACGCCGCAACAGTTGGTTGATTGGTTTGAATCGGCTTTAAGATATGGTGGGAGCAATCAAGGTGTCGGGACATCGATTTTGTACTTCCATTCTTGTCGATCACGAAGGGTGTGCCGCAGACCTCGCGCACAGGAGAATCGTCGTCTCGAACCGAATCCACGAAGCCTTTCATAGCTTTACACACGTTCTTCATTTTGTTATCAACTTGCTCGGTGACAAAGTATTGCCACACCCACGATGAGCGTCCGGTCGTAGTGGCTTCAGAGACTTCGGAGGCCACGTCGGAGATCGAATTGGATGGTGCGATACTTGAGGCCGAGGAATTCATCGATCGGAGTAAGTTGGACGCTGATCGGGTGATCGCTGGGGCTTGTACAGGCATGAGGCGATGAAGAAGGGGAACTTGACGGGTGAAGGGTGTGGGAGGGTATAGAGCGGCGACTCTGATGATCGCCAGAAAGTTTTGGCGAAAAAAAACTCGGCGACCCGGCCCAGCCGGGTGCCGGGGGTGCCCGCAGGGCACTTGTTAGTCTCATCAGGTTAGGTTTACTGGCCCCAGGGCCAGTACTGTTGCCTCTGAGAATACCCTCGGGCAGAGGCGGTCGGTCAGGGCCGAGTCCGGGTCACAGCCTTACGATGGACCAGAGAGGAGGGTGGAGGACAAACCTCAAACCCGGTATAGCCTGTACAACTCACTACTCAATACACAACTCACCCTTACCCACCTTGCTACCCACCCTCACCATAAAACCTTTCTTGCGCACAGATCACTGAACCTTTGATTATTCAGAAAAGCACAAGTATGTTCTGGTGGATGGCATTCAAAGGAATTGTTTCCAGATTCATTTCAGAGGATTTTGTTCAACCATGAGAATGATGTATTGTTATCAATACACACACGCGCTTGTAATCACATACTCTTGATCAGTGACCAGCTCTTAAAAGCCCTGAGGCGTAATCCATCCATACTTGTCTGGATTCCAACACAAACCACCTTGTGACCCTCAAATTGAAGGCTGTGTTTTATTGGCAGTTTGTTTTCTGCTTTACCTGCTCTAAATATGTAGCTTGATAAATCATCTTTGCTTGGTTTTCTAACAATGGCTTCAAGTATACCCAATCCCAATCATGATTCTCCTCTATGGTGTTGCTGTGGTGAAGATTACCCAGATAGAAATAAGACTCAAGCAATCTGTGACCCATGTCAATGGAATAAAGATAACCCAACCAACATCAACAAAATGGTACCTTGTTTTTTCTGCTCAGCACAGTTTGAGGTCCTCAACACTAGATTGTGTGGTCTATGCAAGAAAAATCCAAAAGCAGTTGCATTTTTTAATCAAGCCTCTGAGCCAGATCACAATTCAGCATCTTGTCCATTGCCAGCTAAGTCAATCATCTTGCCAAGCACTTTCAGTTCTCAACCTTGCTTTATCTTGCTATCCAAGACATCCATCGCCTCAAGTTATCAACCTTCAATGCATTCCAGATCTTCACTTGACTCAAGCTCTTGCGCATTGGCACCTCTGGCTCTCAACACAGCTACGCCTGCATCAGATCATGATGCAATGAAATTTGAGAATTGTGTTCAAAGAGCAATTGCCCAGGCTCATGAACTTCAATTTTGCCAACGTCAACAGTAGATTTCTAATCATTGAAAGGACACTATTCCATACCCATCCAATCCTGAAGCTAGAGCATCTGCAAGATCAAAGATGAAGAAAGGATCAGAATCAAAGCAATCAAAAACCACTGGATTCATAAAGATTGATATTGCCTATATTCTTAATTCTGAACTTGTTGAAACTGAATTGATTGGTTATAGCTTTGAATCCAATTTCACCAAGCCACATTGGATGCTTGATTTGACTGTTGAGGCCTGTGATTAATTTAGAGATAATCATCCAACTTTTCCCTCACCTCAACAATTAGTTGGCCTTGGACTTCATAGCCTACCACCTTATTATAAAGAATGGTATTACCTGGGCAAATTAGGCAAGGGAAACCCATTGATTACCAAAAATTACCTTTGTTTCAAGTTGATCTCTGGCCGTGGTTGCAAGAAGTGTGTGTTGATTTACAATGCAAATCAATGTCTGACAGCAACAGGCAAGAGAAATGTTGAAGATGAGCTCCTAGACTTGCCACCTCCGCCTTCTGTTCATCCTCAAAGCATGACACTACAATCACATTCTGTGAAGAGTGAGTTCTGCAAGCTCAATAACCAAAGGTGTCCTGATCATCACTATCTGATTTTCCTTTTTTACATGTAGAAAACACAGCCCATAAGTCTTCAGTTATTCTTTCTTTGGATTCAAAATCTTTGGTAGTTCTTAATGGATCAATCAACTCCAACTCAATTGATGATCATGGTGAGTGATATCTTTTTGAAATTTCCTATGTAGTGAATTCTCTAACAGAATGTCTTGGATTTGATCTGAAGACTATACACCTCATCCAACCAGAACCTTGAATGTGAAATGTCCTAAATCTAACATGCAATCTATCAAGACTCAGACATCACCTCTGATTGTACAATCAAAAGTGACTCAGACTTTCAATGAAGTCATGGCCAAGAGTGTTGATATTTTGTGTCCTGAACCACTTCATCAAGTCATGGAAAAGCTTATTGATGATTCTCATGAGTAATACCTTATACTTGAGTACCTCTCAAACACATAGTTGAACTGACTTGATAATCAAAATCTAGCTGGTGGTAGAGTTGGATTTTCTGACTTAGGAATCATGTGATTGCTTGGCAGAGGAACTCTTCCTGTTGTTTCTTAGGCTCAAAACCGTTTAAGTCCCATGGCTGGAAAATGGGTTCAATGCTTACAATCATTACAAATGATTTGGACTCAAATGAGTTCAATCTACATGCAATCAAGCAACTCAACTTTGAGAAATCAGAGGTAGTTTATTCTGTTGATTGTTCTGCATTTATTGGGTGCAGGGCTTCTATGAACTGCCATGAAGCAAAGGTCCTGATTGATGGTCAAGCTCAAGAGATGGTTGCTAAGCAGGAAGTGGCTGCAAACATGACTCTTAAAAGCCATCAAGCTTTGGCTCAGCACTATCTTGGAGCAGAAAGAAGCATTGAGATGTTTAAGGTGGCGATTGAGGCCAACTCAGGAGATATTCCATATGATATACATAATCATTGTCATAAAATATGAGTGAGGTTATGGTTTTTTGTGGAACACTCTGGATGGGATCCTTAGATCTCTTTTTTCATGCTTGTGAAGAATTTTATTGTACATTGAGGACAGACAGATGATCCTTCATCATTTATTTGAGGAGACGATTGAAGTGAAATTTGTTAAATTCTTTGGTAATTTATTCATTTTGGAATTGAGGATGAAAAGGAAAACAAGATTATCTATTAAATTATACACACACTATCACATAAACCATATCACCACAATCATGGTAAATAGATGATTTCCAAATCTTCAAGGAAAATGAAGAAGTTCTTCTCACAAACATTTCAATTATTGATGAAGAATATGTACATCTTCTTTACACACAAAAACATACAAAATCTCTCCTTCAAGTAAAGGAACAAAATATACCCATGCCCTTTTGGTGGATTGAACACCAGACCTTTCCATATCCAACCTCCTCACTAAAGCTTTGTACGAGTGGAACGCTCTACCACTGAGCTAAAGGGGCTAGTCCTCTGCCATCACCAATTTGGTTATATCAATCTCGATATAAATCTAGTAAATCATCATCACCCCTGAAACCCATCAATTCAATTCTCATAAAACTCATCATCAAATCTCAACTAAAAGAAAACCCCAATATGTACACTTTTTTTCTTGCTTCCTCTTCAATCTCTAAAAAGAACAAATTTGAAAATTTTCAATTTTCTAATCTCATTTCACATCATCAATTCCCTCTCTTTTTGTTTTCCAATTTCAAAACCTTTAATGATGAACTCCTTTCAAACTTCCACTTGTACTACTAATACTACTACCACTTACCCAACTAAACCAACTTCCTCCTCCTCCTCCTACTACTACATTACCACTCGAAAACACTGAACTAGGTTTACTCCAAGACTTATAAACTAAATAAGTTAAAGCAGAAGTGACCCCGATGAAAGCACTTAATGATAAATAAACGGTTAATTTATCTGACGTTTTTTCTAAACCACCTGGAATTGAAGAATTACTGAAATTCCGTCCCCCCCAACAAAAATTTCAATCAATCAATCAATCAATCAATCATGAGTCATCGTTCATAAGAGATATGAAAAAAAGCTCTTACGGATTGATAGCTATTCCACAAAGTATGGGCCAAAGATCTGCAGTTTGATTCGTTTTCATACTTATCGCTACAGGTACTCTTAAACTTAATTTACGACAATATACATCAGGTTGAACTTCATGTCTCTATAGAAGATCATAATCAAAAGAAACGAGAATTTGAGTTATCGTGTTAAAAGAATCAAGAGATAGATAAATATAAATAGTTCAAACCTGTTGAGCAAGATCTAAATCAGCTTTACTTGCAACAAAAAGAGTAGGGATATGATCCACTTTGAATTGTTGCTAAAAAAAATCAAAATCAAATTCAATTCATCCAATTTCAAGTTTTTCGTTTCTTTTTAGAAATTCGAATTTTTGAAAAAAAAAACTTACTCTTAAATTACTTATATAAGAAAATGAATTGGTATCTGAACTATCATAAACAAATACTAATACATCTGCCATTCCTAATCTTTTTGAGTTTCTTAAAACTTCTTCACCTTCCCAAGCCGCAAATTCTTGAACCTATGAAAAAAATTTAGAGAGATTATATCAATTTCAAAAATACTTTACCAAAAAAAGCAAGCCTATAAAAAGAACAAGATCATATCTTCTTTTTAAGAAAAAGACTCACCACTAAATACTTTTCAGCACCTTTAAATTCTACACTATTCACAACAGTTAAACTACCACTACTATTCCCATTGTTCCCAATAGGATCATAATGATGATGATGATGATGAGAATCTTCACTATATCTTTTCTTAACTAAATTTCGACATAAAGAACTTTTACCAGATCCGACTGCCCCAAAGACATAAATCAAATAGGTCGTTCGATTCACTTTGTTTTTCTTTTTCCGTTCTGATTTTCTTGGTTTAGTTAATGTAAGTGCATTCGTAGTAGGTGATGGATAACCTAAATGTGCTAGATAAGCCAATGTGATTCGATGATCGAGTAAAGTGGTCATACTAAGAAGATCATCAAATTGATTCAAGATCAGTCTTTTTAAAATCAAAAGAAATTTTCAATCGGTTTCAAAAAAGCTTTACCTCCATTGAGCTAGCCAACCTTGTAAGGTGATATGATCATTATCATTCGTAATCGTCGTATCAGGAAATCCTTGATTAATCCATGGATTTCCAGGTGAAGTACTAAAAAGTGATTCTAACTCTTCTGTATTTAAAGCACCATCTAAATCCTAAAAAAGCAAATTAAACCTCAAGGTAAGATTTGAAAAACTTGATGATGATCTTTGAAAAAAAATGAAAGATTCTCAAACAAAAACACGCTTACCTGATCAAACGTTTCAAATAAATCAGTGAAAAATGCATAACCAGAAGGACTAAGTTCAGCTGAACAATCGTTCGGTACATCAAATCTATCAAAACAAAAACAAAGAAGATTCTTAGCTTAGCATCAAGATTTGAACACATGATTTGAAAATCATCAACTTTTGACAAACCTAGGAGACAAAAACGTTTCACTTAATGTAAGATCATCACCATATCCAAACGCTCTTAATACACCCCAAACAGTTTCTAATCTTCCACGTTGAATAAAACAAGTATGTAAATAAAGAAATCCTTCGAGAGTGATCTGATCCTTAAAAGTTAAAAAATCGGGATTTCCTTGTAAGACTTCAGTTTTGATCGTCTTGAGTTCTTTGGATTGTAATGGTACACCAAAACATTTACGCTAAAATTCAACCATCCAAAAAAAAAAGGTTGGGTGTCAAGAGATATGAAGAAGGAATGGGTCTCAAATTGGCTTTTTTTTCTTTTGACTTTTCACTTACTTGAAACTCGTGTAATTCATCATCATCTAATACGTTATCTTTATTGACATCACACAATTTAAACACTCGTGTTAGAGCATTCACACAGGCAGGTTTCATTGACTAAATAGTTAACACGATCAGAAATCAGAACGAATCAACCTTCGAGTTCATAAGTTCAACTTACATGTTCTCTTGAATCATAAAGAGGTGCTGTTGGATGTAAAACAGCATTTTGAGCTAGATAAAACGTTTCACTAATGTTCTAAGACGTGATTCGAAAATCCTGGTCAGTTTACTTCAAAAGGGAGAAACGGGTGAAGATGTTTAAAGAACATAGAAACTTAAAACTTACAAGTGAAGCCTTTGCACTACATTCGATACACGTTTCTACTTCCTTAAATTCTCTCATCAAAGGTGCTAATTCTAAATGAGATGAATGAACAAAAAAACACAAATCAAGTCGTAAGATCATCAATTCGATGATGAAATAAGTGGATGAAAGTAACTGACCAGATTGAAAAGCTTCATTGGTCACATCCTCACCATCCCTCAAATCAATCTTATTTCCAACCAAAATCACTGGACTAAAGTTCCACCAATAGAGTTAAATCAATCCAAATCATCAATTCGATTCCAAAATGATAAATTGGTGTTTTTTTTTGGAATTTTAGAGTGTTTGATTTTTTTTCTTTCTTAAGAATGGTGATGTACCTACACATTCACACCTAGTGACCTAATGGTAGGTAACCAATAAGTAGTAATCCTATCAAATGAAATCGAATTTTCAATCGAATAAATGATCACCACCACATGAGCTCTTCTGATTTCAGTTTCAAGATGATGTCTATCTTCTGGACGTGCTAAGATGAAAATGAAGAAGAAGAAGAAGAAGAAAAAACGTGTGTCATTCAAAGTGATTTGTCAAAAAAAAGAGAAAGTGAATAGATTTTGAAGTTTGATTTACGAGAGGTATCGATGAGATGAGTGGTAATGTTAGGAGTCACTTCAGGTGGGATTGAGACTTCAGGTAAAACTAATCCAGTGGGTAATTCGTAAAATCTTTCTTTGATCAAAGCGGTGATGATAGTACTAAAAGTGAAGGATGAGGAATGTAAGATGAGTTCAAGTTGGGTATGGTTTGTTTTTGTTTGAGAGAGAAAGAAAGATTGAATTGACCTTTTACCCACTCCATCATCTCCACAAAGTACTACTCTGATATCTCGTCTTGCCATTCTTGAGTTTGATTGATTCGAAAAGTTGAAGTGAATGCCAATTGGGTTAAGTGATCCATCGAATTCAACTCGGCTGATCATCTTAGCTTAAGTACTTAAGTCTCTTCCGATTTAACTACTTAGCTATGTACTTAAGCTCTACATACACTTTACACTTCACTCAACTTTACATGTTACATACCACCATCCCCACTTCTTGCTTCAATCAATCAAATCAGTTCTCAAGCAATAAAATCAAACCACTCAAAGCATTCATCAAAACAGATCCTATAATCAGTCCATAGATCCTATCACTTTCTCATCAACTCAACCATTCAAGCTCTCCTCTTTCAAACTTAACTCAAACACCAATTCATTCAACCCTCATTTCTCTTTCTTCAAACAAAAAATAAAATCAATGATGATCAAGTTCTTTTTCACTATCACACTTAAAGACCCTTTCAACTTATAACCTACAAAAAACCCCTCCCTCCAAACCAAACTAGTTCATCTTCACAAAAACCAATCCAAAAAAAATCCCATCCCCCCCAAACAATTTCTTCCTTCTTTTCACAAAAATATCAAACCAATCTATCCCGTTAAAGTCTTCACTTCTTCTTTACTTCTAACCAATAAAGTCGAACCAAACTCATATCGATTCTTAGGATCCATCACCGCATCCCAAATTCGACCATAAGCTAAATTGATCATCATCAAACTTTGATGATGAACGTTAGAAGAAAGTTTACTAGACGAAATCAAAACCAATCGACTCGAGACTAATGTATCTAAATTCATTAAAAACTCATTAAATGATTGGATTGATGATCTGATCTGTTTTGAAGAACTGATTTCAATTCTTGATAATGGAATCTAAAATCCGGACCGAAATTCATTTCATTTCAATCAGTTCACTAGGGTTGATCAAAGAATTCGTTTCAAAAAGTCACTTACATCTTCTTCTTTAGTATCTAAGGCTTGAATGATAGGTTGTAAACCGGATGATTTCAAAAGTTGATCAAAGTGTTCTTCAGTTAAGATCTTCAAATGTTTCTTTAATTCGACTTCCAATTCTTCTTTTTTCTGTTCAGTGAATTTAAATGGGGTAAGAGTGCTCTAAAAGAAATTCATTCAAATCAGTTCAAGATCAAGAAAGTTAAGAAAAAAAAACATTCAAAGTTTGATGGAAATCCTCTTGACCTACAATCATGAACTCTAAACAATTAATCCAAAAGATTGATTGATCCCAATTCGAAACTCTTAGAGCTGCCATCTTAGTGATCAACTCTAATGCTGGACTAATAGTCAATTCCAATACTCTATCAAACGAATTCACATCCATCTCTTCAGCTGAATTGTCATTATAAATCGACATAATATCTCTCAAATTCGACATTGCCTCATTCAAAGCAGTGGGTACAGATAAAT